TATTACCATGGTAAATTTGTGGTTACTGCAGTTTTACTACAAATACTGTGATAAACTGTGGTTACTGTAATAAAACCATGGTTAATTTTTGTAAAAGGCTACCAGGCTGTTGTACCCTTAAAGGTGAAACTTTAGCATATTTTTTTCTGACAGATTTATTAACAGCAATTACAGAACATAACACAATCCATTTGAACTTTTTTTTAAGTCACATGCTCACCAAAGCTGCACTTATTTGAAAAAAAAAAAAAAACTTAAAAGCAGCAATATTGTGAAATATAACAATTAAAAATAAATATTTTCAATTTTAATATATTTTAAAATGTAATTTAAAATGCATCTGTGATCAAAGCTGAATTTTCAGCATCATTACTCCAGTCTTCAGTGTCACATGATCCTTCAGAAATAATTATATTATCATTTGCTGCTCAAGAAACATTTATTATTATTGCTACTTCATATTTGTGTGGAAACCGTGATGCATTTTTCAGAATTAATTGTATATATAGTAACAATGTTATGTAATGTAATGTAATAATGTGGCAATGGTTTCTTAAAATCTACTTCTGATGCTTTTGGGAAATGCAGCCCTATTTGAACAAGCACTGTGAGCCATGCGTCAGCAGCGAACGCTGTCTGTGATCGATTGGTTCTGTTTTTCAGCATTTGCGTGTCTTCCGATGAGCAGGAGAAATGGTTCTATCCAACACAATTATTCGCTAATATAGTCTATTTTTCCACTTAGAAGCTTAGTTTATGCACCGAATTTCTTGATAAATAAAATGAATGCTTAAAAAATCCACTTTAGAATCAATATTTTTATGTGAGGATCGTTCCTTTCGATACAACATCAGTACCGAAAGTATCGATACTTAAGGATCCATACCACTTATTTTGTTTTCGATACAATACCGATACTTTTAATAAACGATACTTCTAAACTGAACTTTTAAATTATGAAATGTATTAAATTAAATAACTTTTTTCCATTTTCCTAAGGGACTGCCAGTGACAGGCTGTTTTGCACCGCATAAAAGGCAACCTTTTTATTCTGACAGCTATGATTTATACTAACATTACAGAATAGAACATGATCAATATGAACTTTTAACGTTCAATTTAAATAAATGTAATTGCAAAAACTATGTAGGCTACAATTTCAGTTTATTTATTGTGAAATAACTCAAACATGTTTTTTCTGTTCTCTGATAAGCATTGTTCTGGGCTGCCGTTCCCAAAAGCGTAAATGATTTCTTATGATACTTTTGGGAGTGAACGCTCTCTGTGATTGATTGGTTTTGTCTTGCAACATTTGCGTGTTCAGATGAGCAGGAAAATAGTTCTATCCTACACAATTATTCGCTAACATAGGTTATTCGTCCAATTCAATGCATATTGTACGCATGAATTTTTTTATGATTTTAATGATGATTTAAAATACCTTAGTATCTATATTTTTTCTTTGAGTATCAATACTTTCGATACTCGCACATTTGCACATTTGGCTCAGAATGGATTTTGAAATTCACACCGCATTTTGCTAGTTATCACGCGGTATCACGATGAAAATGCAATCTCAATTGTCCTACCCGTAAGTCTAAATACATTTAGGAAAAATGGCATTTAAATGATCATTTTGCTACAGTTTTTGTTTGGACATGTTAAACATGTCTAATCAATTTGGGTAATACAATTTCATTTTAATTTATAAAATTTCAACTTATAAAGAGTTAAAATATGTTTTTAATTTACATATTAAAACTAGTGTAGAAAATGGCAAATGTAAATTATATAATTGAATTTTCATTTTCATTTTGCACTAAATGTTGCATATGGGAAAATGTAAATTTAAATACAGAAATACATTGCCATTTTACATATTGCATTGTCATTTTGCATATAACATTTCAAAATGAATTTTGCTACCCATATGCTTCCATAGTACGGTTCAGCATTAAAGATGAATTCTCAGCTGATCATCTGTAGTTCACCTGCAGCTGTAGATCAGCGTCTGAATCTTCATAAATCCTGCGAGCAACTCCACCATTTTCCAGTGACATCTTTGTCAGGAAGTCAAAGTTAACATCATATCCAAAACCAAGGCAATAGAGGGGAAACTTTGTCCCAATGGCCTTTTGCACATTGGCCATTATCTTCTCTATGTTGGTTTCACCTGTTGGAGAATTATTTTATTTTTTATTCTAATATTCAGACAACATGACAGAAATTCATGTAAACTGAGGATATAAGAGGAAAACGAAACAAACAAACAACAAAAATTCTTACAAAAAATGCTAAATGACTTTTGCCTAAATTATTTTTTAATGTGCCTCAGATGCTGATGTGGTGCAAAATTAAAACTGCCATTGACATCCTAACCTCAATTTTATCAGAAAAACAATGCAAAAATGCTCTTGTAAAAATCCGTTAAGTGAACAATCAAATATTTAAAAGTACTATTTTTTTTCCGTAAAATTAATTTTGAGCCCTAAAAATAAAACTAACTTTAAATGTGCTCAAAGACAGAACCGTTCAGCAATAAAGATGAATTCTCAGCTGATCATCTGTAGTTCACCTGCAGCTGTAGATCAGCGTCTGAATCTTCATAAATCCTGCGAGCAACTCCACCATTTTCCAGTGACATCTTTGTCAGGAAGTCAAAGTTAACATCATATCCAAAACCAAGGCAATAGAGGGGAAACTTTGTCCCAATGGCCTTTTGCACATTGGCCATTATCTTCTCTATGTTGGTTTCACCTGTTGGAGAATTATTTTATTTTTTATTCTAATATTCAGACAACATGACAGAAATTCATGTAAACTGAGGATATAAGAGGAAAACGAAACAAACAAACAACAAAAATTCTTACAAAAAATTTTTTAATGTGCCTCAGATGCTGATGTGGTGCAAAATTAAAACTTCCATTGACATCCTAACCTCAATTTTATCAGAAAAACAATGCAAAAATGCTCTTGTAAAAATCCGTTAAGTGAACAATCAAATATTTAAAAGTACTATTTTTTTTCCGTAAAATTAATTTTGGGGAAAAAATTATGGAAAAAATACAGTCACAAAAATGCTATTGTGTAATGTCTGAAACATACCCGCTGTATTTTTTAAACAGTATAAATGGTCTTTTTGACTGTTTTTTTCATCAGGCATTACAAACAATTATTATTTAGGTATGCTTGATTTTGTATGACAATGCATAGGAATCACAAAGTGAGAAAGAATATATCACATATTCATAAAAGTGCAAAAACCCAAGATGTGCTGACTGACAACATTAATGTTACTGATGCAGCTTTTCCTTTAGACAGCTAAATGTGGGCAGTGAGTGTTTGTATGTATCAGTGTTTCTGTGCCTGAAGTGGGATCTCCGTCAGTCAGCAGGATCAGGATGGAGGCTGTTCCCTCTCGTGGATGTCGATTGATCATGTCCACTCCTGCTAGAACTGCAGCGTTTATGTCTGTGGCTAAAGGAAGACCAAACATAGTTGTGTCACTGTGAGGTACAACGTTTTTACTCCTTATGTAGCATTAGTGCTGTAACTCACCTCCTCTATCTGTGATCTCATTCACGAAAGATTTCGCATTCCTCAGATTTGCCTCAGTAGCTTTGAGGAGCTCACGCTTCCATAAGTTAACTTCACTGTCAAAGGTGATCAATCCAAAGTGGTCATCCTCATCAAGATCACTCAAAACCCTTAGCAGTGCCAATCGAGTCTAAAGAATGACAACACATCTGAAAGTTATTCTTTCTTCATTAAGACTGCATACTCACATTTAACAGACATGGACAGTTTGTTACTACTTTAAAGAAAGCAACTTCACACTAACTTCAATACAGAAATCCCTGTCCTTTTAACATGAAAATGCAAAATGCTGCAATATCCTCCAAGAGTGGGTCAAGGGTTCAAGGGTTTTACTGTCAAAACATTTCATAGCTCATTATATGCTTTTGATTTGGCTGAAACGTTGACATTTACCTGTTCTATTTTTCTGCCGTGCATAGAACCACTCCGGTCAATGATAAACACCACATTTTTGGGAATACGTGGAACATCAGAGGGGGCAAAGTAGTGGACGAAATAGCCATTTGATACCTGAGAGAACAGAAAAATTCCAGTCTTTCAAAATGTTTGTTTTTGACATATTATTTTACTTTTTAAAGCATGTTATTTAAAATGTACCATGACTTCTCCTTTGGGATTTCGTCTCTCCACATCGTATGTTATGAGCAGGTCACCATTCAACCCATTTTCTCCACAGCTTTTACACTTGGTCTGTTGATCTTGAGTGGGGTATAAGGTCACCCATGCCTGAAATGATCAGTTTGTTCATCTGGTAACTATTTAAGTGTATGAGCATATTGAGAACATCTAAACTGTGTTTTAACCCTCATTTAAGTTCGTACTTCTTTGTCTGCTCTGGTGGTTTTGATGGCATTTGCCAGATCACCGGTGCTCAAATCTCCTTTCACCTCCAAGGAGGAAATTCCTGGTTTCTCTTGGATGTGCACATCCATCTAATGTGAGGAAAAGAAACATCATCTAACTATACCTTAAAATTGATTATTAATTTCTTCTTAATTTCTTCCATTACTTTGAAGTCAGCCACTGGCTGCATTGGTTGCGCATTGATGAGTAGCTCATATTTGCCGAGGCGACGCTTTAGCAGTTCCTCGTAGGTCAACTCAAAGGTCACTTTACTAAAAGCAGCCACTGTCACTGAGGTTTTAAAGTCTTCTAAAGTCCTTCCAACAGATCTGAAATAAAAACAGATACCAACATACTACTAATTATACTATAAATGGATATTTTTATGGACCTATATATTTTTAAATGTCCCGTACTTGATCTGTCCAGCACTTTGTCCTCGAGATACTGCTTGATTGTATTGCTGTTGAGCTTCCTCTTTTTCCATCACAACCCCATCATATGTTTTTCCCTCTATGGTCCTATGGAGAAAGTGACACTGATGTTCTCTTAATATACCAGAAACTTAAACTGTGTGTATTTCATTTAAAAAATATCCATCTCACTCAAATGGTAGCACCACTAAATAAGTTTGTTTGTATTAAAGCATCTGTACTGTTAGCTACTATACCTTGTACTTTAAAAAGTACATACATGTTATTTATTCTTAGACTAGTAGAAGGTATAATTTCTAAATCTTTATTTTGTTCTTGTTTGGCTGTATTATAAGATTTACCTGATCTGATGCCCACATGCTATAAATGGCTTATTTACCTCTTTATATAGGCCTAACACTACTCATGTTCACCTACATTCTGAATTTGCTGATGAAGGCATTCTTGGGAATCTTGACCTCAAACTGGATCTCTTGAGATTCATTCAGTGTGTTCGCAACACGGCTTGTGATGACTGTTGTGGCGTAGCGACTGGTGACCGTGGAGTTAATGTAGAAGCTGTATATATCCACATTTTGTTTCTGTTGAGACATTGAATAGTAAATATTAAAGTATTTTATCTCATATTAAAGTATGGTCAACGTGATTGGCTGGTGCACATTTACTCCTCCTTTTCACATAGGATTGCTCAAATATTTACTGCTCAAAAATGGCATGGAGAAAAGGCCTTTGGACTGAAAGACAAATACGTTTTGATGACTGTATCTCAGTGTACACAGTTGCGCAATAGATGGTTCTGTCGACTCAAACTGCATTTTTCTGTCAACAATGGCATTATAGACATAATCAAAATGAAAATGTCTAAACAGATAAACCAAGCAGCTGAGAATAGCTGATTTCGTACATTGCATTGTGGATTTGTTAAGAAAAAAGACAGAATATACAACAAGCTAAATCCTATTAAATATCAAAATACATGATACACTACTATTCGAAAGTTTGGGAACTAAATTTTTTTTTAAATGTATTTGAAAAAAGTCTATGCTCACTGAGGCTACATTTATTAAACCAAAAATACACATGAAAACAGTAATTTTGTAAAAACAGCCATTACTCCAGTGTTCTGTCACATGATCCTTCAAAAATCATTCTAATATGCCAATTTGCTGATCAAGAAACATTGTGTATTAATTAATGTAGCAAACAGTTGTGCTGCTTAATATTTTTGCTGAAATGTTATGTTTTTTCAGGATTTTTTTATGAATATGAAGTAAAAAAAAAAAAAAAAAAAATCTTTATTTGACCTAGACATGTTTCATCATAATAATTATCTTTATGGTGACTTTTGATCAATTGAATGATTAAAAGTATTATTAGTATCATTTAAATCTGATTAAAAAATTTTAACAATAGTGTATGTTCAACAAGTATGAAGTATATCTAGTTTGTCTAGACCTTGATCTCAAATACAGATATAAATATGTTGTTTTACCCTGATTTGGTAGAGTATTTAAGAATTTTGTCTTCTTCATCTTAAACAAAAATTTGCCCCTCACCTTCTTAACAGGGTCTGAAGAGGCTGAGATGAGAAAGACGCCCAAGAGAATCAACTGGAGAGCTGCTCGATCCATCATGACCTGCACAGGAAACTGACCTCGAAACACACACTGCCTTTAAACTCAAGTCCACAGCATGCTATTGGCTATTATTGACCAGATGAGGAAACCTCCCCCTTTATTTGCAATGAGAGTCTCTTGAACACCACATAACTAAATATCGAGGCATGCTTTTCACAAAATAACTGTCTAAAAAGGAGACAGAAACTCTTTTTTTCTTTCCAGAGCGTTTGGTAAATTCTCTAAATGAAAATGCCCCCCCAAAAAATTTTAATTCATTAAAAATCTTTTCAACAAACTCCACTGTTCAAGCATATTACTTTTCTCTCTCATGGTGGGTGAGGTCTTGCTCCCATGAAAACTTCACAGTTTCATGCCCATCAGTGTAGTTAATTTCATTAGTGCTGAGCAGCAGGTGGTGATTAGTTTTGTAATGAATTGAGCTTTGACTGAAGCCTTCTCCTCCAAATGACTCATGTTGCCCATTCATAAAGAACTCTGATTATAGACAAACATTACACTGCTTTAATACACATGAATAAATGAAAGCAATGTGATATTACTGTTTATAAAACAAACTGTACTAGAATGGATATCTGACCTGATGGGACATTCTGTTGGAGTCTGACTTTCTGAGCAAGAGGGACATCATAGCAAAGTGGCTTAGCATTACCAGAAGATTTCAAGATCCTAATGCTCCTCACTGAAGAACAAAAATCGAATGAAAGAATGAAAATAGGGACATATGATATCAGATACTTTACAAGATACTGTACTATATAAAATTAATACACACATGGCCCACATACACGGAGGAGAGGTTGTCAGAGGTTTCTGAGTTGTGCAATCGTAATATGGCTGAAAGTAGGTAAGAATCTGGCATAAGGAAGTAAGATGAAAAATCTATTTATATAATAATATTATTAAATATATGGCAAGCATATCAATGTGGTAGGTTCAGTGATTAAAGTTGTACCAAAATCATTGAAGTTATTCAAAACTGAACTCTTAAAAACGTCAACAGTTCACCAAGTAAAACCCAAAGAAGAAACAAACAAGAAGAAAAAACAAATTCACCTGCTCAATTTTTCGTCCGACATGGAGCCACTTTCATCAATGATAAACACCCCATTTTTGGGAATGCGCTGAATATCTGTAGGTGCAAAGTAGAGGACGAAGTAGACATTTGATACCTGAAAAATAATGATATTTGACAAGTAGGATTGAGCTCTAACTGTAAATGAATCATTCATGTCACTTTGTTGCTGTAAATCGGTGTCACTCAGTGAACACTTTCTGGTCATCATCACATTTGTCTTCCTGCAGTTTGTGACTGCATTGGTCAAATCCTTAGTGCTCAGACCACCTTTGACCTCCAAGAAGTAAATTCCTGGATTCTCATGGATGTGTATGTCAATCTAACCCAGGGGTAGGCAAGTTCGGTCCTAGAGAGCCGCAGTCCTGCAGAGTTCAGCTCCAACCCTGAAAACAAACCTCACCTGCCTATAGCCTTAATAATCCTGAAGACATTGATTAGCTTGTTCAGGTGTGTTTGATTAGGGTTGGAGCTGAACTCTGCAGGACTGCGGCTCTCTAGGACCGAACTTGCCTACCCCTGATCTAACCAAAATAAAATTCAGAAATCTTATATTTCTTTGTCTTTTTCCATTATGATGAACATAAACCCCATCTATAAACCATAATTACATCAAACTTGATGTGTTTCTTTGCATTGGTTGGGCATTGATGAGTAGCTCATATTTGCCGAGGCGACGCTTTAGCAGTTCCTCGTAGGTCAACTCAAAGGTCACTGTTGAGTGCTGCCCCTTTAAGAACGATGTTTCAGTGGACTCATGTGATCGCTGAGTGAGAAGGCACAGTAGAGAGAGAGGGCTGACAGAGAAAGGCCATGTTGTTCTGCTGTAGCTTGTTGAATTTCTAATGATTTCACATGAAAGTATGATTTAAACTATAAATTCCCAGCGTGGTGAGTAATGTTTCGTTGTTTAAGTAATCTGAGGTGACTGATATATCGCTATATAGATCGCTATTTGCGATTAGCGCCATTGCGCCTAAATGGTTAATATTATACGCTTTTGTTTGCTCTTTGTGTAGACATTTGTTTATGTTACTTGTTTAACTATTCATGCAATATGTTGCATTTAGTTAGTAAACAAAGTTTAACACAAGTCTGACGCGAGAGATTGTTCCAGAAATTCGTAGTGTATCACATGTGATAATACGTAATGCAAATGTGATATGTGAAACATTGCTAAATATTAATTGTGAACTGTTTTGTGTTTACAGTTTGACCGCACACGTATGCACATAAATGTACAAAAATTCTAAACTACAAGTAAACAACAACAACTACCAAAATGTGTACGGTGTGAGTTCTGCACTAGTGGAATAAAGGACAAAATCAAGTTAAATCAAGCTACTGAAGATGAGCCAGCTGTTGACCCGCCACAAACCATTCAAGCACATGCCACCAGAAAATGCATTGAAGTTAGTCAAAGGAAGATCGCACTTCCCATTCTGCCTGTAGTGGTTTCAGACAGACACAAACAATTCTCTATGAATGTTTTTGCTTAGCTTGACAGTGGCTCCAATGGGACCTTTGCTTCTAAGAAGCTAGCTCATGCTCTTAAACTGGAATCACGCAAAATGAACATTAAACTGAACACTATGGAGACCAAAAACCTCAACGTAGTCACCTTAGCAGTGCGGCTCTCTAGGACCGAACTTGCCTACCCCTGATCTAACCAAAATAAAATTCAGAAATCTTATATTTCTTTGTCTTTTTCCATTATGATGAACATAAACCCCATCTATAAACCATAATTACATCAAACTTGATGTGTTTCTTTGCATTGGTTGGGCATTGATGAGTAGCTCATATTTGCCGAGGCGACGCTTTAGCAGTTCCTCGTAGGTCAACTCAAAGGTCACTGTTGAGTGCTGCCCCTTTAAGAACGATGTTTCAGTGGACTCATGTGATCGCTGAGTGAGAAGGCACAGTAGAGAGAGAGGGCTGACAGAGAAAGGCCATGTTGTTCTGCTGTAGCTTGTTGAATTTCTAATGATTTCACATGAAAGTATGATTTAAACTATAAATTCCCAGCGTGGTGAGTAATGTTTCGTTGTTTAAGTAATCTGAGGTGACTGATATATCGCTATATAGATCGCTATTTGCGATTAGCGCCATTGCGCCTAAATGGTTAATATTATACGCTTTTGTTTGCTCTTTGTGTAGACATTTGTTTATGTTACTTGTTTAACTATTCATGCAATATGTTGCATTTAGTTAGTAAACAAAGTTTAACACAAGTCTGACGCGAGAGATTGTTCCAGAAATTCGTAGTGTATCACATGTGATAATACGTAATGCAAATGTGATATGTGAAACATTGCTAAATATTAATTGTGAACTGTTTTGTGTTTACAGTTTGACCGCACACGTATGCACATAAATGTACAAAAATTCTAAACTACAAGTAAACAACAACAACTACCAAAATGTGTACGGTGTGAGTTCTGCACTAGTGGAATAAAGGACAAAATCAAGTTAAATCAAGCTACTGAAGATGAGCCAGCTGTTGACCCGCCTTCAAGCACTCAAGCACATGCCACCAGAAAATGCATTGAAGTTAGTCAAAGGAAGATCGCACTTCCCATTCTGCCTGTAAGACAGACACATTCTCTATGAATGTTTTTGCTTTGCTTGACAGTGGCTCCAATGGGACCTTTGCTTCTAAGAAGCTAGTTCATGCACTTAAACTGGAATCACGCAAAATGAACATTAAACTGAACACTATGGAGACCAAAAACCTCAACGTAGTCACCTTAGCAGTGGATCTACAAGTTGAAGATGCTCAACAAAAGAACTCTTTCCTGATGAAAGGAGTGCTCTGTCGGGAACACCTGAACATAAGTCTGGACAGCTTAGTCACACAGCAGGAGGTGTTTCAGTGGCCACATCTGCGGGAAATTGCGGATGAAATCAGTTTACCTGATGCTGATCTAGCTGATGAC